AAAATAAAAAAAAAAAAAAAAAAAAAAAGGGGGGGGGGGATCTTCATTGCCTACGCTACGTCGCTTCTGCCTGAGAGGGATTCGGGAGTCGTGAAATGCACGACGAGCAGGAACCAGCAGACGATTCTCTTGAACAGAACTCTTCTTTCCCATTGGCTATTTCCAGCCAGCCCGCCTTTGTCACGATGGCGCTCCACGAAGCCCCATCATCTGCCTGGTAGACGTGCCGCATCCGATTCAGTGTGAAGCTTAAGGACACTGAAGAGAGCTTGCGTGTAGCACATAGTTTGTGAGTCACGGTTCACGAAGTCAAAGGAGACTACAAAGAAGAATGAACCTACAAACAACGGGAAGAGGGCTGTACATGGAACATCGGCTCGATGGTATGGCCGTTTGTATGATCATGACCTAGGCCTAGCATAGGACCAATAATGAAGTTGGCCAAGGCCTAAGGTAGGAAATCTTCATTGCATCATCTTGTGCCAGACAAACTGATTATTTTCAATGGATGCTAGGTTTAGGCTATCATTGGACTTATTTTTTAGAAGTGCTGAGTGTGAGTGGGGGCATTGACATATTGTATCATTTCATACAATTCAGCAAAACTGTCTTTTTCCTCAGTAGCTGAGTTAACAGATTGCACGCCTTGCATGACTTAGAGGCTCAATTTTATCAGTTGAGTTCATTTCACGACACATGCTTTACTTGTAATTGACAGGTTTTCGTGTTAATATGAACAAGATTGCATGAGTGACCAGACATCCCAGTTTTTCAGACTATAGTAAGTTACTGCTGGCTGGGCAAGTGGGTTTTGGGATCGCTGGCTGGCCACTGAAAAACGACGTTCTGTCTCTAACGTTTGAAGTCATATAACTCTTGGCCCATTACCACAAATGATGGTCACATTAGTACCAATTCATGTGGCATCAAAGAAAGACAGCAATAGTTTGTGGAGAGAAGTTCTAACGTGAAAAGAGAGGTAGGTCTAAATGTTATGGCTTGGAGAGCCTGTGAGACCCTCAAAAAACTTTCACCATGAACTAGATAATTTATTTTCCTGCCCAACTACGAAGTATCCAGAAAAAATTAACATCATATTCTGTTCTTCCCTTCAGTGATGTAATCAATGCTTATAAGACAGCACAAATGTCATGACAGGTTGGCTGGCGGTCCAGTATATGAGGTATTCTCGTCAGCCGGCCATAGGAAAAAAGTATGGCACTCGAGAAAACTCACCTCTTCCCCATATCTTCCCGACAGTGGCATGTGGCTGTCCTACCCCCCCCCCCCCGCCCTCCCTTCATACTATTTGGAATATCATGCCTGTCATTCCTCTGTTCTCTTAGCCATCTGTGCTTAGGTATAGGCTAAAACTCCCTCACCTACCCATTCAAAGCATTATTTGTTCAAGAGCGTGGCAACCATTACACTTGCATTCCTTCGCTTGAACTCTACGCTCGATATATTGAAGACAGAGCAGCATTTAATTTTAAATAGACACATTATTGAGACTGGAATAGCGTTACTCATTCGGGCCTTTATTTGTTATTTGCCCTCTTCGGATTTGTTCAGAATTTTTCTTCATTTTCTTCTATTACCATATTGTAGAGAGACCAAAATGTCTCTCCATCACTCCTTGCAATGCCATCCAAGCAGCATAAGAAGGTAATATCAGGGCGGAAAAGGAAACACAGTGAAGCCGCAATTATAGAGACAGCGGGAAAAGTTAGATCAAACGAACTGTCGGAAGGAGCAGCGGCAGCTGCCTATGGCGTCCCAAAGAGCACCATTGGTGATAGAGTTCAAGGTGTTTCAGCAAAGATGGAGGTAACTCTGGGAGGAGAAGGAAGAACACTTTTGCATGCACATGAGGAGGAGAGGGTACACTGTTTTTGGATTGAATTGGTACCCCCCTACTGTGGAGAACAGAGAAAACACATGCTTTCCAGACGATCCTCAAGATGTCAAGCCTGATGCTCTACATGGTTGTTGGATGGTTCTATTAATACTTCACCTTCCTCCCACAAGGTGTCCTGCCTATACTTGATGGAAGCGCTCCTAGGGGGGGGGTACCAATTCAATCCAAAAACAGTGTAGTAAATTATATCCTAGGGATGGCAGAAGCCAGGATGCCCGTCACACAATCCTATATCTTCCAGTTGGTAATTAAAATCCTGCATGATCTACCTGAAAATGATCCAAGAAAAATTCCAGAAGGTAAGGAGTATCAAAAGGATGGATGACAAGATTTCTCAGTAGACACCCGGATCTTGCCCGCAGAACTGCCAATATCTTGAGCCTTGAGAGAGATAAGGTGGATGAAGGGGTTGTCTGTAATTGGTTTGCAACTCTCAAGGACAGGCTGAAACAAGACCATGCCTTACACATCCTTGAAGACCCCTCGAGAATCTCCAATGTTGATGAGACAGGTTTTGCCCTGCAAGGTAGATCCATCGGTAAAGTAATTGCTCGTAGGGGGTCAAAGCATGTCTGTCAGCTATCTTCCGGCCATTGAGAGCAAGTGACTCTCATCCACTGCGCCTGGGCTGATGGCTATGAGCTCACAAAGACTGTGATTTTTCCAAGTAAAAACAAGCCCCCCCTTCATTACTTCACTGGGATTCAAGACCCTAGCCAATGGAATTTGGCAAACAGTGAGTCAGGCTGAGTTAACAGTAGTATATTTTATTCCTGGCTGAATCTTTTCATCCATAACCTAGAATAACTGGAAGCCACTTTCCCTGTTATACTTTTCTTGGATGGACATTACTCTCATACAAGTCTGGAGGTGCTTGAAAGGTGCAAAGAGAAAGGAGTGATCCATGTCCAACTGCCAGCTCATTCATCGCGTTTTTTGCAGCCACTGGATGTTGCTGTCTTTGGGCCCATCAAAAGGGGATGGTCATAGCACTTGCAGGAATGGCATATAAATCACTTTGGCCAGCAAATGACAAAGGTGCTTTTTCTACCTGAATTGGAAAAAACGGAGAAATTCTTTAAGAAAGGAAATGTCATGGCCGGATTCCACAAGTGTGGACTGTTCCCTTTTGATACAAATGCAGTGGATCATTTCGATCTGAAACCACCGAGAGCTGGGGCTGTAAAGGGAAGACAGGACAATCAACCAGCTGATGACAATCAGGATTTACTGGACAATACTGACTGTAGGGACAACCATCATGGTCTAAATCATCAAGCCTGTGGTAGCCTGCATCATGTAAACCAGTCAGATTATCAATCAAGCGCTACATCTGCAGCAAAATATGATTACAGCTGTCTCCTTCGTCTACTTGAAGAAGAACTTGGGCAATACTTGGTGGAAATCTTTCAGAGTCATGCAGTGCTTGGGTCAGAGCCAGATCCCCTCATGAGGCACTCATACTCCTCATGAAAAAAATTAAAAGCCAAATCTACAGCATGTTCTACTCAAGATTCAAGATGATGTTGGTGAGCAAACATCTACCAGAAACGCAGATCAAAATGTCTATGGAGTGCAGGATGCTATGGCTACCACATCACAAATCCTTGCATAGGAGAACACCATGGCTCTGACACCTCCCATGAATACTTTGAATGAAGACCAGCACGGTCATTCAGACACCTATGACTTGTCTCCCTTCACAAAATACCTATGAGTTCCTCAAAGGCTGGTGGAGATGGAGTGTAGAAGATCAAAATCAAAAGAAGGAATACCAACTATTTTATCAACTACTGATTACATTACCTTATATGAAAAAGAAGCAGCAGGAGAAGGAGGAGAAAGGGCAACAGAGGGATGCACGGAAGGCTGTAAAGGAAAAGAAAGGAGGGGGAAAGGCTGAGCAAAATGATATTGAAAATAATGAAGCTTGTTCAGAATGTAAACTCAGCACAGGAAACAGATGGATAGGATGTGACTTGTGTAGACAATGGTTTCACCCATAGAGGAGATGCTCCGGTGTATCTCATATGAAGGGAATGACTGATTCTGAAATTGAAGCCATACAGTACATGTGCAGGTTTTGCCAGGGTTCTGACAGCAAATGAACCCACTCATTTTTGCGCTCTCGCTCATTCCTCCCCCCCCCCCCTCTATATTTTTCTTTATTCTCAAATTTTGAAGAGAGGTACTGAAGGATGTGCCACACATCTGTATGAACACATCTTAAATTAATGCATCTCTGTTTGGATGCTTTTTTTTTAATTTTGAGGTTTCATGCCAATATATCGCCTACTTTTTCAACCTTCCCCCTCTGTTTGAAGGGGATCAATTGAAGAGTTGCTTGATCATGATCACTGCCATCGCTTTAGCTGACCTGGAAGTGAAAATAAACACCATAAAACTCCTTTGCTTCAAAGTCATCCCTGTCCCTTTTTTAAAAATTATAAATGAGATTATTCATACTTCTATGGGGAAAGAATCCTTGTAAAAAATGAGCAGTTCATTTGGGAGTTAATTTTTCCTTTGCCCCCCGAAAAGACCAAGACTATCTTTCTGCCCAGCAGGTGATCCCACTCTGAGAGATTCCAGTTCAGAAAATTCCGGAGGTGTGACATTGTCATTTAGTAATTCATTAAGTAGGTGTTTACAGGATACGTATGGTAGCAGTGGTCGGTCAGCGAGAACTTAGGCTAACCATACTGCTGGAAGGAGAGGATGCATTGGAAGATGAGTGGTGGAGTTCACAGTTGACTCTGCCTATGGCCAGCCGGTGAGACCAGGGTGGTCGGTCGATGGCCCTGTGGCCAGCTGGTGATATCAATTCCAAAGAATTGAGTGCTCTGAGAAAATTCGGGCTGTAACGTTGCAGCAGACCTTATTTTCAACACGTTTGGAATGAATTAAAACTGTTCTTTCCCTGTTAAAAATGGACACACTCTATTGTGTAATCAGTTCAACTAATTATTAATAAGAGACTTGGTAACATGGAAGTTCGGACTTGTGAGAGACAGAAGTGGCCGGCCAGTGAGAACTGATGTTATGTCCTGGAAGCTCTTTCATTTTTGAGGGGGAGCAAAGAATCAATGTAATGGCCTAAAAGCCCAATAATGTTTCCAGGGGAACACAAGGATGTATTGCAGTCAATAAATTTTAAGGAATGAATTTTCCTTTCCATTCTGGTGTCCAGTTGTTTTGCATTGCAAGGACTAACATTTTTGTATTTTCTTGAAAACCTTCCAGCCTTTTCTGAAAAATACCTGGTCACCCTAATATTGCATGAAGGTTATAAAATGTTTAGCCTGCCCATATCAGAGTCAAGTTATTCACTTGACTGTTGAAATCAATTGGAAACATTTAGCTTGGTGGAAGGGCATATGTTAATGTTGCCTCATTGTTGGTGTTTTTCTAGTTCTTGAACAACTTCCAGATGAGCTTCAAGAGAACTTTGTGAAGATCAAAAGTGTAGGCTTAGAGTCAGAGAAACTACTTCTTCAAATTGATGCCATTGCCAGTGCCTACTTGAAGAAGCTTCAGCTCATGCCTGATGAAGACAGGGACCTCCAGGAAGCCAAAATCCAAAACCTTTTCAAGAAAGTTAATCAGTTTTCTGATGTTAAAGTGAACTTGGCAAGGGCAACATATGAAATGGTGAGTGTAGATAATAGAGACAATTCCTATGAACAACACATGCTATGTTGCATAGATACTGAGGTCTAGCTCTTGAATATTGGTACTGTTAAGTGAAATCAGTGATTGAGAAAATTTTAGGGCAAAAGCCACAAGAGTACTGACTTATGGCTTTTCATTACTTTTGTATACCACTCAAGTGGTGTGCATTTTTCCTCTTTGGAGTGTTGAGGGAAACATTCAGCATGTAGCAGCACTTAGCAACAGGAAGCTTGAAAGCATCAGAAAGCACTATTTGTGGAAGACCACTGGATTGTAGGTTGAATGACCAACAAACAATTTGTGCCCAGCTTTCTCAGCAGTTTCTGCCACCAGGATTGCTTGGCCTGGGCAAAATTCCACTCAGTTTTGAGTGCAGGACTGGAATTCAGTGATTTTCTTGAATCAGAGCTTTTTCTTCTTATGGGAGATCAATAGTAGACTTGGTTCAAAGACAGGTAAATGAACCCTATCTCCCTGAATGCTTGAAAGCAGCTGTTGAATTTGGAGGACATTGGGTAGTAATTTTGGGGTCTGTATAATCTAGGTTTTAAAAAATGATAGAAACCACAGTTATTGACAAGAGCACATGACATTGGAGACAACTTATTCCTTCCATTTGCTTATCTTCTTGAAAATTTAAGCAACATCATTTTGTCAGGCAACAATGCCAGATGTCACAGGTCAGCAATAGTGAAGGAATGTAAGTACAAAAATAACATTTGCTTGCTTTCCTGGCTTGTGCAGAGTCCAGATCTGAATGCTATCCATCTTCTGTCCACTTCCTTGTGCTTTGACAAATTGCTACTCAGTTTCCTCCAAGACCAAGCTTGTAGCCCTCCTCTAATATCAATGGGATGAAACATTTGCAGAAACCTGCCAGAAGCTGGAAATAGGAATACCACCTAGATGGTTTCCAGGACAAATAGGCAGAAGTTTATCTAAATAAAGAAAGATCCAGTGTGGTGCCAGTGATTAGCTTCATTGTTAAAGCTTAATTATTTGAATTCAAACCTCATTCAAAATGTTGGCAAATTTCAATTACTGTTAACATTTCAAAGCCCAAGTCAGTAAATATATGTTGATGCTGGCTTTTCCCATGTGCCCAGGTGAGTGCATATCTTTTGTGTGCTTCAGATATTTGTAGAAAATTGAGAGTCGGTAAATATAAGGTTTTGGATGCCAGACACCTTCGCTACAGGTCTGTACATCACTTGGGGTCCACCAGGTGACCTGTGTGTCCATGTGGATGTGGTTATAAGTTTGATAGTAAGTCAAGCCCCTGGAATGGAGGAATGATTTTACCAATATTCTCAAAAACCACTAGGCCAGCACTATGACTCACTAGACAAAACCCTGGGGCTTTTAATTGTTAAGATAGCATTTAAAGAAATCATGTATTAATAATATGATCATTTTGTCAGAACTGCTTTCTTGCAAATATGATTGCTGGTCCTATTCTTTTGGAGGGCATTGTAGGTGTTTGCTTCATTGTTCCAACAGATATGGATTCACAGTGAATGCCTGCATTTCACAAATTGCATTGTCTGTTTCCATAGTTAGAATTCACTAAAGCCCCATGTTGTACAATTTTTTCACCAGCCATTTTGTCTGTTCATCTGTTTGCAACTCTGCACCTTTCATACCCCAACCTGCAGCAAAGCATAATTTTATGCAAATTAGTGCCACCTTGCCAAAAACACTTGTGAAAAAAATTCCATGGTGTTATAATCTCAAGTTTCACTGCAATCTATCAAGCCATTCTGGAAGTATACTGATTTCATTTAGTGCAGTTTATGAATTCCCTGTATATGTCCTGTTTCTTCACTTCAATATGATTGATTCAGACAGTACCTCAAAGCCACATCACGTGATGATTTTGATCTCTAAGGGCTTCATTGTCTTGCAATATACTTTATGTTTTTGCATTTCTATTCCCATTTAGTTAAAACTTTGAGAAAATGACAAAATTCCCTGACAGTTGCAGCATGTGACAGCTCATTTGTGGCAAAAATTAGATTCATTTTCTTTCAGAACCCTCAAATGAAAAGCTTGTCCAGTAAATGGCCCACACTTAAATAGACTGATTCACTTCTGCAGGTGGACAAGCATATCAGGAAGCTTGACATGGATCTTGCACGCTTTGAAGCTGAACTCAAGGAGAAAGATGAAACCTTCAAGCTGGAAGATGTTGGGTCAATGGGATCACAAGCAAAGAAAAGTGAGATACCTGAATTTGATAGGTGGTCTAAATGGAATAAGTCAAGGTAGCATGCATGACTTGAATCTGTTGTAATGTAATTGGGTTCTGTGACTAGCAGGTAAGGAAAGTGAAGGATGTGAGAAAAAAGGTTGAAGATCATCTTTATATAGAATGTAAGCCTGAAAAAGGAGAATTTTCAGAATTTTCACTTTGTCTTGCTTCTTTCAATAATAAAATAGTGAATTGACAAGGAACTTTGCAGATTCCTAGTTTCTGCAAGCCATAGGGCCATTTAGTCAGTCTAAGCAAGTGGTCTACAAACTTTTTAAGGCGAGGGCCTCACAGACACTTTGGTCTGCCTTGAGTGGGCCACACTAATTAGTCAACCTGGAGTAGGCTGCATTGAGAAAGATGCAACATTTCTACATGGTTAACCCTTCATCTGACCATCAATCTCTTGGTCAAGCTACTCTAAACCAGGAAGTAGAATTTAAAAAAATGAGAGGCTATAGAAAATGGCTTATTCCTGATGCATCTGCCCACACTTCCACTTTGCACAGTCATGGAAACTGCCACTACTTGGAGTCAGGGCTCATGTAAATGCATCGGTTCTAGATGCTGCTTTGTTACAAGTTGTATCTTTGGTAAATTTTCCTCTTTTTTTCCTCTCCTTAACTTCACTTACTTGCGAGCAAAGACATTTTTTCTCTGCAGTATATGGATGTTCTGAATTTTAGGCAAGGTACACTTCTAAATACATAATAATCAAAATTTTAACAAGTGTCTGAATATCTAAACAATGACTAAACTTGCTAGTTTTCAGCAAAGGATTCCAAATCTGGAATTTAAAAGTGTTCATCACGACTATTCTGTAATGCCAATTAAACAGTTATAAGTGAGAAAGTATATTATTGGTTACTCTTAGTGGGCCACACTTTAAATACTGCTGGTCTAAGCTCTTTTTTCATGGAATCTTCTGTTATAACAAAAAAGAAGGCCTAGTTTTCATCCTGCATATTATCAGAGTGATGGTCTATTACATGTTCCTTGGTTTTTCATGTAGCTAAGTGGTCCTACTGAGGTTTTTATTTTTTGCTACTTTCCAGAAGGCACCAAGAAGACAGTGACCAAGAAGGCAAAGCGAAAAATAACACGTAATCCTGCACCAGTATCAGTACCATCTTCAGATGAAGATACTTCGGCTCGATTAAAGAAACGATTTAAGAAGAAGACCACATCTGAAGAAGCTCCACTTCAAATCCAGGCATCATCTCTTCCATCTCCTTCTCAAGTTTTGGACATGCCAGTGGATCCCAATGAGCCTACTTACTGTCTCTGTGAGCAGGTTTCATATGGGGAAATGATTGGATGTGACAATGTAGATGTAAGTCTATTTATTTTTTTTCCTTTTGATTTAGTTTCAATAAATGTTTTTTAATCTTCTAATGCAAGCATTTACTTTTGTGTGTTTCAGTGTCCCATTGAATGGTTCCATTTTGAATGTGTTGGACTCTCTGGCAAACCCAAAGGAAAGTGGTACTGTCCTCCTTGCACATCCAATCGCCGTCGCAAGTAGAAATCTCTTTGTCTCAATCTTGTCTGTATTCTAGTCATGAAAAACCTCAAGGAAGAACACACATTTTCATTTCATATTTTTTGGAGAGAGGAAAGGAAAGAAGTGAAAAGAAGCATCATGCTCAAGGGTTTCTTTGTAGAAGCAGTCATAATTTTGGCCCAAAAGTCCAATTTGCTCAAAATCTGTGAATGTATAAGATAGAGGAAGTATTCCTTGGACTGCATGAATAGACAGGCTTCTTACATGGACTGGTTCTTGGATATCAAGAAATTTGGATTGTACTACTTGATTGCTCACTTTTTGTTGTTGCAATTGATGTGGTGACTATTGCAATTTGACCTTCATACTGAACAACCCAAAAATTTCCATAGGTATTCATCAAAATGGCTGCTGCTGTGAATTCTAATGGTACCTCTTCATCATTGCTGCTAACAGCTGGAAAAACTGCTGATTAGCCTGTAGGTTGTCATCTATGGAACAGCTGCTATGCAATTTCCATTTTTGTTCTCTTGCAATTTATGTTTTCTCCATGAAGGCAGGCTGTAGCATATCTATTTGAAGAATACTTCAGTTACCTCTGATTCTGACTCCATTATATTTTTTCAATTTGGAATGAATAATGGATAGTTCACAAAGGGAAAGCTTGGAAGGAAGGACGAAGTAGAGCTTTCAGTGGACTTTTCCTATATGAACTGTACCAGTATTCATGATAAGATTTAGCAGCTTTGCTATCGTCTGTTACTGCTATCAAGGTCGTACTGCCTTTGCTGTCAGTACTTTACCACATCTGAATGCTGTAGCTGCACATTTCAGCTCCAGCAAAAATATGTGATTATTGATGACACTTGGGCATACATTTTTGTAGATCTCAAGAGTGTGTTCTTGAACTGTGTGTATTCCTTCCCAAGCTACTTCTCCTAGGTCTCTTATAACTTATTTATTCTCTTTCCATTCATTCTTCTAATTTTTTCACAAAAGCAGTACAAGAACATGCAGTACTGAAAAGCAACATTATACCATGGGCATCAGGTGATTCATAACAAAGATCAGGAGTCAAAGGCCATGACTTATAAAAGAGAGCACTATTTATTCAGGAAATTCACCCTCTTGTGTATGTGGTGAGCCTTGTGCCCCAAGTGATGACTCTGAGTGTGTAACCATTAATGCACTCACCACAATAAATCTCAAAGTTGAACTTCCCAAGAAGTGTTATTGTAATTTCAGTGTGACCTTTTTACTTGGGCTGTGTAAACTAAATGTGTGCAGCCATTTTTCATTCCAGGAAATTTAAGTTTATCTTGTTCTGCTCATCCAATGAAACCATTTTTATTTCCTTCCCTAAAATGGTGTTAGTGTTCTCTGATAATATGGTACTCAACAGATGCCCTATAATACCATTATGTTTAATAGTATAAAAACCTGAAAAAAGTGAAAATTTCATACCATCCCTTCTAGCAAATAGAGAAATATGTAATTCAGACTGAAAGGCTTGCCTTATCAGTGAGAAGCAACTGGCATTTGGATTTACATGCATAACACAAGTCTGTATTATGCACACAATTCCTCAAAGACCATGTGAAATGAAAACCATATTACAGTACTCTGACCTTGTCAAAAGGAAGGCCTTCATTGGCTTCAGGCATTTAGTTTTCTGTAATCTTATGAATACTTTTTTTTGGCGTGTTTCTTTATGTTCCTTTTCAATTTGGTTTGAATCTCTAGTTCTTATTCAGTTGCTTGAAATTGTTCTCTGCTGTGTTCAGATTGAAGATTTATTCCATTTCCCAGCTTTGATTTGTGGACAACTAGGCCCATCATGATGTTTGTGGAACCTCCTCAAATAAATTATAGCAATTGCAGGTTGTCCCTCACTGGAAGGCAACCCTATCACTACAAAGACAATGCAATTTCATGTGGCATTTATCATACAGCATCTATAAATATTAAGTCAGGTGGACATCCTATTCTTAAAAAGTCAGAAAAATCATCTTGATTTGGGCCATTCACATCTTACCAACTTATACCAGTTCTATTGACTGTTCTGCTTCCTTGCATGCAATTCATTTCTTTTTTTTAAAAGAGCTACTGCGCTTGATATATACTTTGTGTGCAGCTGGAGGAGGGTAATGCAGATCATCTTGGTCTCAGAACCACTATAGAGCTAGAAGTGGGTAACAATAAACTTTGAATTGTGGCTATGCCTGATCCATGATTATGGACTCTGAAACTTCCTTTAAAATGGGCCTGTTTCACATCTTTTTGCCTCTGCAATCCTCCAGACTTTTTTTTTATGGGAGGCATTCCTTCAAATCTTTCCATGCACCTTATAAACAGAATGCTCTAGGTTAAAAATGGTTTCAATTCATTTCCCTATCACTTTAGAAAGGAGTGATTGTGGAAAACCTTAATTAAGATGCTGTTGGGATTGCATCATGAGCTTCATTACAGTAGATAATGTAGATGAAGAGAAGTCTCTCTTGAGATGTTATCATATAGGGTATGCCATCTTGACTGCTAACCTCTAGCATCTCAGGCTCATGAATGAGCTTTGAGAGGTCGCAAAAGTAGGTATTTATATGATCTGTTGCTTCCCAGAACTTTGGAAGTTATGGAGAGGAATACTTTTCTCCCTCAGTGGGGAGAATCAATGTTAAATTAACATGGCTACATCTAAAGTTTCCTTTATTGGTTTTCTAGGTCAAACATGATAATAAGAAACTCAAATGTGGCAAGGAAATTCAAATGTATTGCTATGCTGCTTGGGAGCATCATAAGCGACATTAACCCTTTTGCTGTTTGCCCGAGCACATACTCATAGGTTGCACCAGATGCTTTTATGGCGGAAGCCCAAGTACATACTTGGGCTCTGAAACCAAGTCCTTTTAGGTTGTTTTTCCTCTATGGATGTAATTGACATACTGCACAATTCTTATTACACTGTGAAGGTTGTGAGGACTTTTTTTTTTAACAGTGAAAGGGTTATGGAAAGTCAAATGCAGCAGATACGCAAGAGATACCATGCCCATGTTAGAGGGCATTACCTTATCATTGCATTTTCACAATGTGCAGCTTCAGGTATATTTACATATGATGCTCCTTTTGCAATTAAGAAATTACAATGTCAGGGTTAGTCATAGGAATATTTTACCACCAACCATTTGGGACAGGAGGCCAGGTTTCACATATGAAAAAACTGAGAAGAAGATATGGGGGCTTTCCTTAACCCTCAACTGATATTCTTGTTTTATTTTTATTCATTGTGGGATCAAATTGATCGATTAGCTGTAAAAAACCTCAATAAAATTTTTTACATGAATAGTCAAATATCATGTCAGTTTCATGATTACCTTCACTGCAGTGAAACAGTAAGGTGGTGGCATATTCCCAGGACTGACCCTGATGTGTTGACAATTGCCAAATAATATTTGCAATAGGACCATTGCACGCAAATCTACTTGATACCACATGTTGTGAAAATGCAACATGAAGGCACCCCCCTAACATGGGTATGGTATACCTTGTGTGTCTGTTGCATTTGACTTTCCTTATGTTGAGTAAGCTTTTCTCTAAAATCCTACATCCACCACAGTGATGCTTTTGACTTTATTTTGTCCACATTTAACCTAGAAAATATATAGTTTTTCGGTTATTAGCAAGTTTTCTAGTCATGGGTATCATCAGTGTCTTGCCTGGAGATAATGCCCATGCATTATATGCAATCCAACAGCCCATTCCTTACCAAGCTTTGAAGTGACTTGCTGGCACATCCCAGATACTGATCATGTTACCAGAAGAATTCAAGTTTCTGAGGGCCTCCCAAATGCAATATACTGAACCAAATTGTTTAAAAAATAACGTGCATACAGGCGCAATAAGGCTGCCTCACAACAAATTTTTTTTTTTTTCTTGCCCCATCTGGTTTCACTGACAGATCTTGTTTCTTGGCTGGCTCAGATGACCAATTGTTAACAAAAGAGTGCCCATCCATTGATGACCTACTATCACAGTAAAATATGTTGGGGCAAAGCAAATCCTGTTGGGAGCTAAATGAGGTCACCCCACCCTTTTGATTTAGCTTTGCTCAAATTATACTTAATGTTGTTTTTCTGTGATAGTACTATTTCAAGAAAGATTCATTCCTAGGCCCACAGGAAGATCTGACATCTTTGCCTTACAGTTCATGGTGTATAAAGAGTTCCAGTTATGACTTGATTAATTTTTAGAAGACCTACCTGGAACATTTGCTAACTGTGATGTCATTGCTGATATGCTCATGGAAAAAAGTATTTTTAGTGATGTGCATCAGCTTCAGTCATTTTATCATATGTCCATGAAGCATGTTAAAATGGATGGCAATTCATAGAGCATGCTAACAGCAGCAAAAGTTCAATGGAATTGAGAGAGAATTGAGAGTCCTGCATTCATGTGTTCAGGAAAAATGGCCTTCTACTGCAAAGTACCAGTGCCTAGTGTGAGAGTAGTCTATCAAGTTCCCTATTTTTGTATGATACAGAATCTCTTCTTCTCTTGTATACAGTATTTAAATTTATGCTCAAGTAATTATTTAAAGATTGCCTCTGGCCCCCTGGTGATGGGATTCATCATGGTGGGGGACACTGCAACCACAGTGTTCATAGTCTTTGCTGAAGATCACATGTTGTATGTATGTGTTCATATAACTTTTTCATATGCACTTGGAAGTCATGATTGCACATGTGATGAATGACAACACAACGAGTCATAACCATCGTATGATAAAGATGAGACTGATCCTCTTTTTGAGAATAAGACTCATCTATGTATCATGCACCAAACTGGTCATGCTTCATTCTCCAAACTTTGGTCTTTTGTGGGTTGTGTTGGAATTGCCTGGGATCATGGATTGGCTGAACATGTCATGATGGTATGCTGGATTACTGTGTATTTTATACACGATGTTTTGATTTCTTTGTCATAATGAGCAATGTGCCATAAATAAATGATGTTCTTATTGTTTTTGTCAAGTTTTGTGTTCATGCAATGACTGCAAAGCTGTTTACACTTTATGGTAATGAACATGAACTGGCCTTGAAAGTTATTTTCTCCATTAACTGTTGACAAGTGTGATGTCGAGTTTTCAAGATGAGAAGGCTTGTGCTTTTAGGTTGCCTCCAAAAATAAAGTTTGGCAGGTGACAGCACTGCCATTTCTGAGTAAGGTTGCTTGGGCATGTATTCTGTGATCATAGATTGTTGCAAGTATAAAGGTTAGGTGTTCTCCCAGGAAGGGAAGCCACAACATTTTTTCCAGTTTTAGAGTCACTCAGGAAGGGAGCAGAAAGTCATGCAAATCATATCCAGTACCAAAACGAACTTCAGAGACCAAAAAAGTGGCTGAGCATCAAGAGACATTCTCCTAGGTGCAAAGGGGGCTCTGTATGTTAAGTGGAGTATAATCACTGTTTTGGAGAACTGATGGGGGAAGTTTTTATTCAGCACCCATATTCTTCAGACTCGAGTCTCTCTGACGTCCTTCGTTTCCAGTCACGAAGTCAATGCAGAAGCAGTCATGGCATCGAAGGCCATCCAGAAAAACGGCTGTGAGGTACTGAAAAATGTGGAATGCTGGACTCAGTGTATCCAATTCAAAAGAGATTACTTGAAGCAATTGTGCGATCAAAATGAACCGTTACTTTTTATGGTCAATGGTATTACAAAACTTTTTCATCGCCCCTTGTATGTATAGCCATAGAGGCAAAAGGCAGACATAACAATGCCCTCATAGACCTCTCTTGTCTCGTTATTCTGTTATCATCCCGGAAAGGTTTTGTAGGGTTCAAGGGATGTTCTGACCGGCATGTAAATTCTATTACAACTCATCATTTAGTAGTCCGGCAGATTTAGAAAAATTTTCATTTTAGATAATCTTTTAAGTTCTGAATTAAGTGTTCATTCTTGGTATTTTTCTTTTTTTTTCGCTACTTAGAAATGCAGAAGTTGAATCTCTCCATGGCCTATGACGACCCTCGCCTAATGCGACTATGTTATGCAACAAACTGGGGCCCAAGAACGTTAGCAGCTGAATTCCTGCTCCTTATACCAATAGGCTGTTCCCATGTGAACAGAGGAGTGAACGCCGCCCTGATAAAAAAAAATGAAGTTGTATCTCCTCGTTAGCAATGAAACACGGATAATGGCATTCTGCTTCATAAGGAGGGAATCCCATTTGTGTAAAGATCAGGGACTATCCAGAGACCCCATCAAACGTGACTTCAGTGCTAGTATGATGCTAGCCTGCTTCCAATGTACGCTGTTATCGTATTGGATGTACAGAAAGTGACATTGTATGGGAAACTTGCCTTTGTTTTTAATTTCGTGAAAATCATTCTACGATATTGTCAATGATCAATTAGGGACCCCAGAACGCTGATAGTTTTACCCATATTCGTGTCAGACTTTTTAAGAATTGATTTCGAATGGGTGATATGGAGCGCTCGGTAGAAAAACAAGTGGCTTGCTGTTATGGAACGAAATCCCATGCTGAATTGAGAGGGAAAATTTTTTTTTTCATCTCTACAGGTGCGCCTTCCAAGAGCACAATCAAAAGACTGATTGAGATATTTCCGCAAGTTTTGTATCATGTAAAACTTCCCAAGTTCTCGTTTCTGGAAGAAAATCCGGAGCTGATGAAGACAGTGGCGTGTGGTCAATACCTACAGTTCCTTAGGCCTCGTCCACACCAAAAAGTTTTATATGCAGTTTTTATTTGCAAAGAAAACTTTCATGATGAGGACATCTTTGAAAGTGTCATGCAGGATTTTCAATGCTATGGGAAATTTCTTCGAAAGTTTTCTTTCGAAAATCCTTATTTTGTAGCATTCTTTCATCGTCATTGCAAGAAAGCTTTCTGGTGTGGACGAGGCCTTACCCATGCTCACCAAATGCGGTTGACTTCTTCCAAAGAAGGTGAACCTGCTTTTGGGAAATTTTGCAGGAAACAAAATTTACGGAACTTTCTCCATCAGCCCCTTGATTGTGCTCTTGGAAGGTGCAACTGATGAATGTGGATTTCTTCTTTTCGTCTCTCTTCTTCACCACCCATGATTTTCCTGACTTGTTTCCCTGCCACTTCTGGTTCATCCCTCAGTTTAAGTCCAGGATGGCTAAAGACCATTTACATGAATAGATGAATGAGCGAAGGCTACAAGGGGCGTTCAGAAAGTTTTCGGCCTAAGGCACTTCCAGTTGTAATACACCGTTCATATTTTTTTCATAGAAAGACTTAGAATCATAGGAATCATTTTCCTAATGGATCTTGCAGAGTAGGGTCAATAATACAGTATCCTCTCAGCCGCCAAAAGATATGAAACCAAACCATGAAGAAACCGACTCCTTCAAGGTTAGAAAATTCATGACATTCGTTTCAGTTTTAATATCCCTTCAGTATACCCCTTTGTAACACATTGAAAAGATTTAATAGAAGCTTTCAATCGACAAATGAATTGAAAATTTTTCATTCATCAAAGACATCTGTCTTTCTATGAAAAAATATGAACGGTGTATTACAACTGGAAGTGCCTTAGGCCGAAAACTTTCTGAACGCCCCTCGTACATGAGCAGAACTGTCATAATATTCCTATGTTGAAAAACCATTACGCCTTCCGAAACACTGGTATTTTTTCCTATTTTTACTGGACAAAGACAAAATCTACAGAGTGACACCAAAATGCATCATTCCAAGCTGTTAACCCACAGGGACGTCATTTCAGAGGGGNCCCCCCCCCCCCCCCCCCCTTGCGTCTTGAAGCGATTTTTAATAGCCTCCTTTATACCCTGTAATAGCTTGAATGTCCGCCTTTAGAGTTCTCAAGCGGCTTGGCCTTTATGGTTCCTGTTTTTTGTTTTTTTTGTTAAATCATGAACTCAGATATGCGCTCTTGAAACTTGAAGCTGCGTATGCTGAGATCTTGAAGTTGATTGACCTCGTTTTAACTCTACCTTTGACAACTGCTCAAGCTGAGAGACAATTGGAAGAGAGTAAAAAATTACCTACGGTCTCGCTTCGGGGGCGAGAGGCTGAGTGATCTGCTATTGTTGGTAGCGCTAAAAGCGAACATGGCGGAAGTGATTGATGAATCCGCAAAAATGATAGTTCATCGCTACCCGCTGTTGGGGTAAATCCCATTGATTTCGTGGGTATTAAAGCAGTTTGTCCAAACTTGTGGAACCCAGACTTTTTGAGGTGAGGGTCACACGTATACTTTAGTCCAGCGGTTCCCAAACTGTGGGTCGCGAGAGGCATCAAGGTGGATCGCGTACATTTTCCCAGAATAAAAAGTCACTATATCCGCATCCGCTCAGGATAAAACATGCCCCTGCAGAAAAGGTCGATCAGTTTTCTTCACGTTATGATTACGTTGAAAATACCTCGTTCTGGATTCCGGTGGGTCGCGATTCAAAGAAGTCTGGGAACCGCTGTTTTAGTCCACCTTGCATTGGCCACTCGAATACGCTGGTCGGCCTTGAGTGGGCCCCATTGAAAAAAATTCAACGATTTTGGAATGTTTACTCTTCAACTGGCTGGTCAAGCTACTTTTTAAAAAAGGCCAGAAAATATCATTAAAGAAATGAGTGGTAATCGAAAACTGCCTATACTTGGCCGCGTCTCTTCACACTTTGTCCATTTGTAGCCGAAAGTGCCTCTACTTGGGAGTCAGGACTCATGTAAAGCTGCTTTGTTCCATGTTATATTTTTGATAAATGATATTTACCTTTACCTCATACCTTTCATAATTTACCTGCAAGGTAATACATCATCTTTGTAATGTTTGAACCTTCCAAATTATTGTCCAATTCAGCAGGAGCGCACTCAAATTTAAATTTAAACTTGTAATTGCAAGTATCTGAATATCTTGAAGACTTTGCTAAGGAAAAAAGTATTTGTTAAGACTTCTAGTTATGAGCGAAAGATTCCAAATCTGCAATTAAAAATTATTGATTGCATTTCTTCAGATGAGTCACAATTATTTATTATAAAGAGATTTCAAAATATAAATTATTAATACATCGTATTTGGCCGCAGTTTGAATACCGCTGGTCTAAACCAGAGAACTTCTTTGAACCTGCTTTATGCCTCTAGAACTTTCATTTGAGATAATTTCTGTTGCTGAGGGCAACCATGAGTGCAGTTTCATCTAATTAAATACCATTCATCTAATTATACAACGCAAGAATGATTTCTGGCGCCGGTCTAATTTCGCGAAATCCTAAAATATTTTTTTCTCTCGCGAATTTTGAATTTCACAAACTCCACCCCTTTTGCTTTCACCATTAGCCCATTCGGAGGAAAAAAAAAATTCACAAGCGATTTAATTTCGCCATTGAATATGCCTCGCAAAATTCGCGAAGTTGAAGCAGGCCTTAGCATTTCTCGCTGAACTGCGTTTTTCCAGTTGCATAGCTTCTTTGTACCTCCTTTCACCAAAGGACGTATCTGTTAACCCAGGTATGTGGAGCATGCATGTTCTACACGGAGGGCCATCTCTGCATACCGTCCTAGAACGCCGGGCATATCTGGGTTAAGGATTCCATAATGGAAGTGCAAAAGTCACTTTTGCTTCTCACTTGCGATTCGCTTCGTATGCATTCCACACGCGCATCCATCGATATCACACGTCATGCAATTTGATGTCCCATTTCGCGTAATCACACTTGACAGAAATGTCGAAAGTGCAATAAGATAAATTTAAAAAATGTACTCATTGGCGGTACAGCTAACTGCAAGAGGTAATGGTGTAATTTTGTTTACCATTAATCAGGTAATCATTGACCTGCTAGAAATCGTCGGAGAAATAATAATTCGATCAAATTCAATTGCTTCATATTTAAAACTGTCATTTATGGACTACACAAAACATGACGTTTTAAGCGACGTGAGTGGTGTGTCTGTAACAACCGAACATCCCAAGCAGCAAGGGATCATCCCTGGGACATCCCATTTGGATCCTACGTGGGACAAAATGACATCCCATGGATGTCGTAATGAAATCGTCCCGGGATATGGAAATCCCTGGAGCATTCAGAGGCCATTTCGTAAGGTTAGAAATACTCTCGTCCCATACACCAAATCCTTAGTATGTCCATAGGACGTCCATTATGGGACATCCACATCCCACAACGGACATCCTATGGACATTCCCTTTGTCATTTCATCTTGGAAGTCTTTGACCTCTTCGGTGTTTGCGTTTCATTTGTGGTTTAGGCATTAAGCATTTTGGCTTATTGAGTTATGGAAGTCATTCTACCGTATTGTGAGCTTACATCTGATGGATTGGGCTTCATGGTGCCGAGGAGAAAGAGAAGTTTCTTTCTCGTGAGCTTTGAAAACCTGCATGGATTCAAACTCCTTTTTATTCCTGTAACTTCGCATCAACGGGTAGGAATCTCAAGTCTCCAGGTCTAATGTCTGTGCTCCGTTCCTCCCGTTCTCTCATTGAACATTCCATGTTTCTCAATGAGGAGGAGCTCTGAGATCTTCGGGGAGGCCTCTTTTGTTCTAATGATGACTCCTGTTCGTAATGAGGGCGAGGTCGTCGTGCGGATTCGTAACATCGACGTCTCGTGTCTCGCATACTTTCAATTCACAACATCGTAGACTTCTCTTACGATTCATACATTTCGAGTAACAATGCAAAAATAACAGCAAACGTCATATCTGAAGTTTCAAGCATGCACCACAGTCACAGTCCTCAAAGACACACTCGGGCTGAGCATGAGTCGACGAGTCCTCGGTAGTAATGCGATTTCCACGAACACTTGGGAACACCCGACTCCGAAGGAAAGAACGAAAGAACAAAAAAAAAGAAAAATAAGCGCACGCAGATCCCACCACTTGAGATTGGTGAACTCGAACAGTTTCCGGAGAAGGGACACCGGAGTCCTGAATATCATGAGGGAGACACGGGGCGGGGGATTCATTCGATAACATCGATCTGGAAGTTGCCTGCTCGCTTCGGTGGTATGGCCATGATGACGCTCGGCTCATCGTCTTCCCCTCCACCCTCGTACGGAGGTACCTGGAAAGATATCCATATTCATGGCTGCAACGTGCAGGACCTCTAAGGTCGAATTCGAGGCCTAAGTTTCTCCTCTGCTCTCGTTTGGGTGTGAGTGCGAGTAACCGACTTGCATCTCACTCTTTGGAGCCGTATACGAGGTGCCAAACCGCATCGTAAACGAGGAAAACGGGGTTAGTTGGCATTGTCTGGTCCGCATTCCTTCTTGGCTTCTTCATTCTGTCTCGACGTCTCATTTCTTCTACTCTCCCGTACCCTTACTCATGCCACAAACGTACAGGTAAAAAAAGAAACTTCGTGCTTTTTTTCATTCTATTCAGACCTTCACCCACTTAACCTCGTGCATTCCACCTTCCCGCACGCGGTTTCATCTCGTTCTCATGGAAACCATACGAGGTACAGAGGTAGAAACTAAAGCGACGAATGAGCTGTAAGTTGCATACGTCGGGATCGTCCATCATGGGCTTCTGGGAGACGGTGGTATCGGCTCTCGTCACGAATTGAATGAAGGTTTGGCCCCGGCTCTTGTAGTTCTTCAAGTAGTACCAGAGACAGATCCCGGGCAGGGGGAGCACGTTCAGCAGGACGCATACGATACCGATGGATACCGCCCAGTTGGGGAACTCCTCTTTCTCCGTCTTGCCCTAGTGCGAGAATATGAGAAGATATTGAGGAAAATGCAAATGTGAAAAGAGAGAAATATCTACTGAATATCTAAAGACGTCGAAAGAGGAGAATCATGCGTGCGTTCATTTATGCCATCAAAACTGAGCGCAGCGCACAACGATTAGCATAAATATTAATGGATTCAGGGCGAGTTCAGAGCTGGCAATTTGATAGCGCGCTATCATTTTCATAATAAAATGAAGCGCCTTTCAAGGTGCTTTTGCTTCTTGTGAACTCGAAAGGGGATGAGATGCTCTCCTTAATAAATAAAAAAACCTTTTCTTTTAACTCGTATCGCATCCTCTTCTGAGTTGACTTGCCAAATCCGTCAACAATATCAATTCCTACGAACACCGAAAGAAGAGGGCTTCGGATGCGACGCGAGGTAAAAAAAAAAGGTATGCTAAAGGAACGTGAGAAAAACAAAATGGAGAACGTCTAGAACGGCAACGATTGAAGAGATGAAGAACGCCCGAGTGCGTACGGCATCTCGAGACTTGGGCCACCGAGATAAGAGAAGGACAATAATAATTGGACGGCGATAGTAGCTTCGATGAGCGTGGCAGGTGAGCTTGAATGGTCATAAGTATTGGCATGAGTTCACATTCGTCTGAGAATGTTATGAACCGTGCCGGAGTGCGAAAGGAGGTGGGAAGACATCCTGGATAATTACACAGGAGACAATAATTTGATAAATGATCCCAAGAATGGGAACTCCGGATCCAAAAAAAGTAGGGTCCTTCGATATTTGGCTTATCAAAATATTTTCTTCACATGTCATTTCAGATGACTGAAAGAAACATCCGTATATTTAATAAAAATCTGATTCGGTCAGCAATCGCCCCTATTCAAATTTGCGTGATTTTTTCGTGCACAGGCTCTTAACTTGACAGTGAGGACAAAGCCTTCCTGTCCCGTGACTGATCCCGTGATCCAGAATGAGTCGTGAGAGGCCCAAGCGACGAAAAAAAAACCCTCCAATCTTGGTCGAAACTTGCCAAAATGCTCGATGTGGATATTGCACAATCGCATCTCTTGGACGAGGTGCTGGTCTACCATCGTGAGTTTACCTCTTCTCATGCATTTTCCCCCCAATTTGCCTTTCCGCTTTTCCTCATATACTTCCGTGCGAAGAAAAGCAGGCACCCTGCAGCAAGAGACTTGGGAGCGAAGGCGAGTCTGCGATAAACCTCGACCGAGTGGGTGGACAGGATTCACTATCAATAGCCTGTTAATAGCTTATAAGAGCAATATTTAAAAAAAAAATCGCACCTAAATTATTTGTGCAACTCTCATATTTTAATTGCCCTTTGTTTTCCCCCTTAATTCTCATGAAGGTATTTTCGTGAATGGGTGTCGTTTAAAGCGGAAGTAGAGGTGATCGGAGGAGGGGCAGGGGTAATGTCCCTGAGAATTTAATCCAGCGAGCGTGGGAAGGGAAATAGCTTATTTTCTAATGTTATTCCGAATTATTTCTCATGAGAGGCACAGGTCGTTCGTCTCTACGAGAAAAATGATGAGCCTTAGAGGGGAACAAAGGAGAAAAAAAGGGCCCATGCACGTGCATCGCTTGGCCTTCACATATCCCCTGAGGATCCCGCGGATGGAAATCAGCTCCGTATCAGTTTGAGTTATGCATAGTCTCAGCCTTATTTTCCCTGATCACAGGCAATTCATTATCTCTGTGCCCACCTGCGCAGAAAGGGAGCCCTTGGAACTTGGACGACTTTCCTGAGCTTCTACCTGATGAAGGGAAGGATTATCAATTCAGCATTGTACTTGCCTTATCAGCTTTCCACACATCGTATGTCGGATTATGAAGGAAGCTTTTGATCATGGAGGAGAGGAAGATGATGGCGATGAAAATGGGCGAAATGAACCTCCATGTGAACGTCCAATAGAGGCCCGGCCTCACCCCTGTCATCCGCGCGATGTCATCTGAGAATCTACACACGGCAAAGAAAAGAAATGTCATATTTCCTGACTCGACGTGACAATACGAGGCGAGGGTTTCAAGAGTCGGACCTCCGCCATCCGTAAATATAGGCAACCGCGACGACTTCGAAGAGACCGATGAAGATGAGACCAGTGGTGGCGGCGAAGGAATCCACCAAAGTGACCCAGTATTCCCCGGCCCCAGTGACGAAGATGAGGTCGACGAGGAAGCATGCCCCGCACAGGATCCCCGTGAGGACCTCCTTCCGGAGCATCTTCGTGTGGAAGTCGTGGCTGAGATCGAAGATGTTCGTGATGACCCCTTCCATGGTGCCGAATTGGGAGCCCAGCCCGAGAGCCAGGAGCATGAGGAAGAACAGCACGGCCCAGAACGGGGAACCTGGAAGTTCCACCATGGCTTGAGTGAAGACGATAAACGCCAATCCCGTCCCTTCTGCAGCCTATTCGGACAATGCAACCAAAAAATTAGGAGTGACACGTCAAATTAGTTTCTCTCTCTCTCTCTCTCTCTCCACGCACTTTATGCGTGAAGTAAAGGCTTTACCTTATCGAGTTCTTGGCTGAGATCACACTTGTGGAGGTTGAAGTCGAGATGGTGACTGGTGATGTTGAATAGCGGATCTTTCATAATCATTTCGTAGGTCTCATCCGAGATGAGCATTGAAGCGTTGAAATCGCTGAGATCCACCGAAGCGATGGGGTTCGCCAACAGTAAGTCGGTCACCATCTTTTTGTTCCTAGAGTGAGAGAATATCCAGCGCCGTAATTAGAGGCGACGTGGGAAAACACTCTGGCTCTTATCTTCCCCAGGCCATGGGACCTACTTCGAAACGCAGCTCTCAAAAGCGAGCATCGCCTTGAACCCAAGGACGGAGAAGATTACAATGGAAGTGAAGATGGAAGTAAGAAGATTGATGATCGATGTAACATAGGCATCTTGGACGCAGTTGTTGGTGGGAGGGTTGTAACTGGAGTAAGCAATTAATCCTCCAAAGGCGAGGCTCATGGAGTAAAACACTTGCGTCGCTGCATCCATCCACACTTGAGGATCTTTCAAGCGGTCAATCTGCCGGCGGGGGAAAAAAAAACAATCGTGAGAAAAGATGCCGGTTATCCTCTCATGAATCACAATGCGCCGCGAGGTTCCGTCCACGTGCCGTCAATGAAGCGGGGTGAAAGAACGTTCTACGCTCTATCGTACGTGGACTTTATGGTGTGTATCAATGAAGGCACTCCTGCTACTGCTTCCGGTTTACTGAGCCATAAATTAAAGGAAGATCATTCCGTTCGCAGCCGTCCTCTAAACATGTAACGAAGATTAAGAGGGAAAGACGAGGCGGGAGAAATGTAACCCGATACCTAATGTTTTATAAAGTGGATTCGATTCACAGGGTGCTCCAAAAACTGCATCACATTTCTTGAATACCCCCGTTATGAATGAAAGGCCAGGCAGTCCTTTATGAAAAATTAAGCAGCAGAAATATTGCTCATAAAATATTTAGAAGAAAAAAGAAAACGCAACGTTCTCCCGAGCTTCTAGAGTGTATGCAGCACTCTCTTTCCTTTTTCATTACTCGGAATTCCGTGTCACGATCGCAGGGAATTCCGTTTCGTTTAAAAGCTCTGTCATCTTTGATTCAGTATGTAAAACTTGAATCTGTCAGGAGACACAGCAGAGCGATGAAGAATGTGTCCGTCCCACCCGCTGCTTTACCATCGCTCACTTTTTTATTTTTTATTTTTGGAATTGTTTATTTTATGAGGATATTGTCCAGCACGACCCCCGGAGTGAATGGGGCGAGCCGAATTCTCCTAATGGCTTCCTCTCTCAAGTTACCCAGCGCGATCGGAGAACGGTTTTCATCGACTCGAAATTTCAACTCCGAGAGGAAGCACTCATTTAAGGAAGGGGAGGCCGCTTGATGCAAATCAATGTTACCCAGAGAGCAGCAATAGCAGGGCTCTTCGTAATTACTGAGTAGCGGGGGGGGGGCTTCATGATCTGAATTCAGCTTTACGACCTCGTCTCTGCTCTCATCATTTGACGATCCTCGTAAACATCTGACAGAACCCCAGAGAGACATTCCAATTCATTTATCACATATGATAAATTGATGCATTCATCCATCATACGTCGTAAAAAATCTCTTATCTTCCTTGTGAACAGCAAAGAAAACAACTGTATCGTTATAGAGAAAAATTAAGTGGAGATATCGGACACCCTTTCCATCATGCTGCTCATCCTTCGCATTCGACATGTGCAGTAGGCGTGGACTCCCCTACCCCTGCCACATACAGGCTGACAGTGACACTTATGTCAACAAGCCTTTCTTCATCTGGGCTCATCATCAGGAACCGTCTTTCTCTCTCTCGTGTCTTCTTACCCAATCCTTTCCCAACTCACCCGAGGAGTAATCATGTGTAAGAGTCCTTCATCGGCTCCCTTCAGCGTGATGGCTCGTCCGAAGAAAATGATCAGGACAATGTACGGGAAGATGGCCGTGAAGTACATGACCTGAGAGAAAGAGAAAGGCCGAGCGTGCGATGAGCAGTCGTCGTCCCGCCTCGCTCGGACAGCGGTCGTGGCGCTCATCCGCGAATTCCTAACCTTGCCGGAGGACTGGATCCCCCTCATCATGCAGAGGTAGACGACCAACCAGGCGAGCAAGAGGCATAGACACATCCACCATTTGATCTCTACGAGATCCCCGATGGACGTGGACGAATCGATGGCGTTTCGATACCAAAAATATGACGTTTCCGAAGACAGGGCACACTCCTCTACCACGGAACCGTTGTTGTCCACCGGACATTCTGCCCATGGCAGGGGGCTCTGAAGAAGGAGAACCGAGAATTAGATCAAGGCGAAAAGCGATATCCGGGGAACCAGACCATCTCTCACTTGGAAGGAGTTGAAGAGATAGTAGAAACACCACGTGATAACGACGTTGTAGTAGAGTCCGACCAGAAAGGAGACGATGGCGGAACAGATCCCGAGCCCACCCAAGGCCGGATGAATTGATTTCCACACCCCGATGGATCCCTGCCGCATTTTTTGCCCGATTCCCATCTCGATGAGGCTGATAGGCATTCCCTCCAGGAAGAGGAGGATCACGTACGGGATGAGAAAGGCACCTGCCATCGGGAGACACGAGTACGTTTCAGTCCTCCGTAATGGCCACATCGATTCTTCGATCGGGCGTCATTGACGAGGAGAAAAAGTGGGCTATGCGAAGTTATACGTGGCGCGTTTGCTGTCCTTGCTCCTTTTGGTACCTCTTTTCCGTTTTCACCAGGAATTCGAGCCAAAAAAAAGACCCGGGACGGCACACAACCCCTCACCCGCGTGAGAAATATTTGTCCAGTTTGAGAACATTTTCCGCATGGCACAATCAACGACCAATAGACTCTCGATTTTTTTTTACATGAGTTTTAATGATGATTTTGGGAAACTACTCGTAAACTCCTGTCCGTGCTCAAATCATTGTGCATTTGTCACGAGGAAGCTAGCGTAAAAGTCTCAACCGGTTCGCATGGATCGCTTAAGTCGGGTGAATCAAGCACAAGTCGCGTATCTAGTATCGAGGGTGTGTCATGCTTCTTGTCTATGTCACTTACCTCTTTCGAGGCCCGAGATAATGGGAGCATGAGAAATGGATCAACTTCACGCTAATAACGAAACATTTAGGTGCACAAGACCAAAGAAATACGATGAAGTCCTTATCCGTTGATCACCAAAATCGAGTGATCGTAAAATGAGACATGTGAACGCTCAACTTAATTTTCTTTATTTTTGCGGTTGGGAACTGAAATTTGATCGAGATCACGTTATAAAGCGCGAGAATATATTTTGCTTGAAGTTATTTGGAGTTGCACTTAAACTCCGCATCAAACTTCTCTATTTTTGGATAATTTTTTCCCCCCAAAAGCTGCAAATTTGAAATCCGGCCGCTTCAAAAACTTACATCCTCGACTTTCAAACTTTCATCTCGTTAGTTCCTCGAATGATCGGCTGCGACCAAATGATAACTGCGATCAGCGGTTTTATCCCTCGTCGAAAAGCGATTAGTATAAACGAGTGACGGAACGATGCATTACCTCCACCATTTTTTTGACAGAGATAGGGGAATCGCCAGACGTTGCCGAGTCCCACGGCCATGCTGATGACCCCCATGAGGAACTGGGCTTTATTGTCCCAGGTGGCCCGTTCTCTCACCTGGACCTCGCCCTTCCCGCCGTCCAACACCGGGGTCATTTCCACGATTTTCGGCAGGGGGGACGGGAGGTCGAGGTCTCGGTCTTCGTCGAAAGTCTCGCCCATTGCGGAGTGGAAGGAAGAAAACGAACTTCGACCCACCACGAACCACAAACACTAGTACGATCAATGGGGTGAAGGTCGTCAGGCGAGAGGCATGCGGGATGATCACTTTTCATTCATCGCACCAGTCTCCTCCCTCGTAGTATACTGCTTCGTCCCGTGGCGTAGCTTGTACTCTACCCACGTTGAGGCCTCTCAACATATGCATTGCGCATGACACCGTGGGATTTCGCCACTTCGATTCTTATTCATAATCCCATGCAAATGGCTCTGCCACGCTCGTTGATCCATTCGAGCCACGAGGCTGACCGTTCTGTCCGTTTCGAATGTCGATCGATACCATGCGAAGAGCACGACGCAATGCCGTCACGTATCGCAGTACTGGGTGCGTCTGCCCGGGAACTCGCAGCCTCCTATCACTCCGTCGCTATGTTTAGCGACAGCGCCTTAATAGTGCCGCCTTTCTGCGTCTAGCTGCGTTTCTCTTTGATTTCCAAGAGAGAGGTCGGCTCTTCTCGAGAGGAGACGTTTTTGCGACATTACTTGTGCGCCAATCTTTCTGCTCGTTGCAATGCAGATTTTCCTGCTCTCTTTCCTTCGGGAAGAGTACTTCATGCATGAATTAATCTTCATCTAAAGCGTCACGAAGATTATGGGCCTGTCAAACAAGGCGATGGAAATGCGTCGACGAGCCGTAATGTTAAAACTCGGAAAGAAGGGATGCCCGACGTAAACAATGTAACCTACTGAATATAATTCTCCATGAAAATTACTCTCTTTTTTTTTTCCATGATAACGAAGGGAAAAAGGGAAGATCTAGGTCGTCTACCGCCACTCGGATCCTCAATCGTATTCGCCTGCCCAACAAAATTCTACGATATTCAAAGCTGCACTGAGGTAATAAGAATTACCGCTAATATACGAAGTACAATTGGTTGATATTCTTACTGCCTTTTTGTGCTCTTTTTCGCCAGTTCCTTCCAATTTTTTCGATAAAAGAGTAATTCTTTCCCTGCTTCCCCCACTCCTGACCTGTTGCGAAATCTTGGAGAAATGCACGCTACGTGAATGCTCGGCACACCGAGAGGAATTTATGCAAAAATTCACATATTCCATAGATTTGGGCAAGTTTCATTCGCTTCACGTTTTTTCTTCATACCTGTTTTTTTTTCTGTTTTTGGTTCGATTTCCGAAACATCCGCGAGGCTTAACGAGGTTCCTAGCACAAGTACCTGGCAACCGTTGCCCCGGCGTTGCTAACACAAACGAAGCAAGCTGTACTGTAAGCGAAGTACTTTCTGCCTTCACTTCATGACATATGAGGTAAGTACCATCCTCTTCGAAATGTCCACGGCCTTCAAATTCAATGCACAGAAGAAAGAGGTCCCGGTTCCGATGGTCCCATCGACCAACTCGGGATCACCAGGAATGGGCTGTCCTGGAGGTTTGCGCGCGCCTTCGATTCAAAGCTGTCAAAGCCATTCACGCGAAGAAGCGGGACGTACCGGTACGCCCATGCTCCTGGAAGGGATTAATCGATTCGGCTGAAGCCATTCCGTTTGCATGCGATCGGTCTGTTATTGGTTCGTGCACCGTCATCGGCTCGTGCGATGAAAATTGGTTGTATGGATGCGCTTCTCGTGGAAAAGCGCGCATCATTTATCAGAAAAACATTTATCTTTAGAGGGGTACGCCTGTCTATTAATATGGGGAGAAATGCCTGTTGGCGCCACGGCCCCAACCTCGAACCTTGAACCTTGAGGAATTCATCCTTCCGATTCCATTTCGTTGGAGGATGACAGTGAAACACGACAGGGCATAAGGGGGGGAAAATGCATTTCTTTGCCCAAAATCTCGGTATCTACATCCGCTGTTTAACTTTTCGGCGACGTTCAGGTGCTCCCATCGAATGAGAATTCCGAGACGTCTTCAATGGATGAATTTCACGATGGAGCACCTGAGTGATGACATTGTATTGAATGTGGATTTTGGGAGATGGATCATGGCTGCAAGATGCTTCCTATTCGTCATCGGCGCATGTAATTTCCAACGTAAATCGACGACCTGGAACGATACGGTGCAAAAGGTCCTCAAGTCCTCATGCACCGGAGTGTTCGCGAAAGCAAGGACCAGCGATCGTCAACGTCCGGCAAAGGGGGAAAACGATCCACACGACACACGAATCTTCGCGGCTACGTGGCGAAACGCGCAGATGAGGGATTCGAAGGAGGCGGAGAAGAGGGGAAGAAAGAGGTTCTTCCACCCTTCGTTCCTTGGACCGGCCAGATGTTCGATTCGGTGGAATCTTAATGTTTGGGTGAAGAATGGTGCTCTCCATATCGGGGTAAGGCTGGTGGGTCGACCGCAGCCTTGGCTTCTCGATTCGCTGCCATATCTGGAAAGATTGATTCCACTGTAGCCAAGACCTTGGGAATTTGTCTCTATCCCCTTCAGGGTGGGAGACTTCGCCACTCACACGAATATCTGGGTTGTTGATCCACCGCTCTTCCGTCGTTCTTCAGAATACATACGACGCAATTTCCAAGAGCAGACATTTCTGTGTCTACTCCCTCTGAATTTGAAATAGGTTACGATAACACCCACAGGAGGTACGAGAGGGTCTTATGCCAAAGGGAGTGGCTCATAAACACATTATCATTATCCGTGGCTCGTGAGCCGCCAAGCCTATCCCTGTTATCGAGTTCCCCAACTTCTACGACTAGCTCTAATACCCTTCCTTCCGCCGCACCGTCCTTGGGGAGTTCGGCGCGTTCCTCTCTAACTTGAAGTCAGTAGGTCGTTGATGCGGAGAGAGAGCGAAATTATGACCATTTCCCAAGTCTCCCCCAATCAACATCCATCTTCTCCCTTGTTACTTCTCCTGCATCTCCTTTTGCATCTCCCCCTTCCACTATGTCTGTCATTTCTCTATGCAGGGTGGCGCGAGAGTCGCGCACCGTGGGGTTAATTATCACGGATGTTCGAATTTTAGGAACACTTTGGAACACTTTCGATTCGCATTTCACCTGATGTTTGAACATTTCTCAACACGCTGACATTTGATCTTGACACGCTCGGTGCTTATTTTCTCCTTCAATGCCCCACAGAAAGAAGTGTTCGGTGACTTAGGTGGTAATTCGACGGGACCTCGTCGTTCAATCCACTCGTTTGGGAACGACTTATTTAAAAAGCCACGAACAATCATAGCAAAGTGCAGCGGTGCACCGTCCTATTGGAACCACGTGTTAACCCGTTGCGGCAATGGAATGTCTGTAGCGTATGCAGATATGTTTCGCATGTCGCATTACCGTCAAAGAAGCACGGACCAATTAACCGAAATTAACCAAAATCCCCACAGCACCGCCCACACCATAACCCGTGGATCATTTTGCATGAGTCGCGGGTTTTCGTTGGCCCAATAGCGTGCATTATCTCTATTGACATTACCGCTGCGGTGAAATACCGCCTCGTCACTGAACATGATCCAGCGGATAAGATTGCCTTGCCATTGGCAGAATTCCACCCGACGATCCGTATCGTCGCTGCGCAGTTCCTGAACCAGTCGGACTTTGTTGGCGTAGAAATGATGTTCCTTTAGAATTCGCTTAGATCCTGCAGACACCTGTCTCCTGATAAAGCTTTCATGTCGACTTCTTTTTGGGCTGTTTAGATCCAATATACCATCGTTGCTGTCGCCTCGTCGGTTGGGCTTTTCGGCCGGCCTCTGCGCGATCGGTCGTGGACGTTTCTTTCGACCGATTAATTGCTCGTTCAGCGGCTGCCTGATCATGGGGTGTTTTTCATTAAATTCGGTAGCAATTGATCGATTTGAAATGCCTGACCTTCCGCACATTAAAACCAATTCCACCCTCTCGTCTTTTGTTAATTTTTCACCCACCTGGAAAGAAAGAAACGAGAATTAATATAGCGCAACAGTGAAATCCCCCATGGTCCCCAACTTTTGCGCCAGCCGGTATTATTTAGTTTTCTTTCTCATTCCTCATCACAACATTCTGACTGTTGATTGGCTAATTATGGCTAATTGGCTAATTATGGCTATTATCGTCTTTCGGCCTCCTCCCGTTCAAATATTTTCCTCCCTCGATAACTATTTAATAAGAAAGGATACCACAATCTGATTTTGGCAATTCGTTTCACAGTCGTAACTACGGATTAACCAATAAAAGAAAAGCAAGGAAAACGCGACGAAATGAAGGAAGCGAGTCCTTCGAGGCTCCTTCGGCGCACCAATCATCACCAAGAAAAACGAGGAATCCGGGCGGAACCGAGCTCGCAACGTAGAGAGAAGTGGTTTGCTACTGAATTCCTCTGGACCTTTGCCGTATGTGCGAAAAGGTCAGAAACGTTGACTTACTTTTAGAAGGCATTTTTCGTCACAGTTTGAAAAGACAGCAATCGGAAAAACCGTCTGTTCCCAAATCGGGAAACAATAAGCTTGGGTAACTTGAGGGGGGGGGATGGGAATGTTAACTTAGTTTAGCGTCACGAATTTGATAGAGAAACCGCTGTTTTGCGAATGCAACCGAAACTCACTCTCGAACAAGCATGCGTGCCAAAAAATTCTCCGTTTGAATGATAACCAAGTAAAAATAGAAAACGTAAGCCCTTCCACCTGCCCATATTCCAGGGTAAAAAAAAATACAAAAAAATAAAAAACCGGCTTGTCTGCAAATGAGTTTCTGAAATTTTTATGAAACAGCGAATGAAATATGAAACAACGTTTTCCACAGCAAAAGGGGAAAAAAATATTCTCCAAGATAGTTGACAGTTCCCGCAGATGAAGCAGATGAAGCTCAGCGCCCCCCAACACGATTCACAGGGAAACACGTGAAGCAGGCCTTCCACGTTTCCCAAGTCTCTTGTGTGCCTGTCGCAGTGTGTCTCGAACTTTGTTGGCGACTGCGATGCGAGTGAACAGGGAAAACATCGACGCCCGTGTCACCCCGAGTGGCACAGTCAAAATTATCCGAGAACCGCGGAAAAAAGTACGCCATGGTGGAGTCTATCTCGCTGGATACGGGTTTCCTCTTGCATACGATTTCGCGTGATGGGGCGGGTAATCGACAAAAAGCTTTTCCAGCTGCGATGTTAGACTGTTCAAGACATATCCTGAATAACGACCAGCCACAAATACATCAATAAAGGAAAGGTAATTTTTAAGGAAAGGTAATTTTTAAGTAACGAAGAACATGAAAACGTGCTTTTGACAGATTATGAGCATAGGGCAACATTTCAGATTAATACAATTTTTGAAATATCTAAATAAAATTTAAAAAAAAAACAGGAGTAAATGTGAGGGAACATGAGTTTCCCATATTCCCTCAGTTATCCTATCGTTGTTTTTGTATTGAAATCTGAACAAAAAGCAAAAATAGCTCGAGTGAAACGAGACAGTCGAGTTGA